GGTTGCCGACTTGGGGGGAGGCGCCTACTTGGCTGGAGGTGCCGACTTGGCTGGAGGCGCTGGACCGGGTGCTGACAGGACTGGAGGAGCCAGACTGGGCGTCGACTTGGCTGGAGGTGCCGACTTGGCTGGAGGCGCAGTCAGGACTGGAGGCGCTGGACCGGGCGTCAACTTGAGTAGAGGCGCCGGAGCTGCTGCTGGAGGAGCCGCCGACTGGACTGGAGGCAGAGTCGCTGCTGCAGGCGGAGCCTCTTGGATAGGCGGAGCCACTGTAGGCGGGACCGCTGCCTTGGCTGGTGATGCCGGACGTGGCGCTGACGGCCTGCCTGGAGGCAGGACCGCTGCCTTGGCTGGCGGCGCCAGACGTGGCGCTGACGGCCTGGCTGGAGGCGGGACCGCTGCCTTGGTTGGCGATGCCGGACGTGGCACTGACGGCCTGGCTGGAGGCGGGACCGCTGCCTTGGCTGGCGGCGCCGGATGTGGCGCTGACGGCCTGGCTGGAGGCGGGACCGCTGCCTTGGCTGGCGGCGCCGGACGTGGTGCTGATGGTCTGGCTGGAGGCGGGACCGCTGCCTTGGCTGGAGGCGCCGGACTAGGCGCTGATGACTGGACAAGCTGGGCCAGAGGCGGAGCCTCTTGGACAGGCTGGGCCAGGGGCGAGACCAATTGGACAGGCTGGGCCAAGGGCGAGACCTCTTGGACAGGCTGGGCCAGGGGCGAGACCTCTTGGACAGGCTGGGCCCGGGGCAGGACATCTTGGACAGGCTGGGCCGGGGACGGAGCCTCCTGAACTGACGGGACCGGAGTTGCAGGACCTGGCGATGACGGGACCGGAGGCACAGGACCTGGCGATGACTGGACGGGGGGCGCAGGACCTGGCGATGACTGGACGGGAGGCGGGGCCGCTGACCTGACTGGGGGCGGGTCCAAGCTGGTGCACCGGGCCAGGGTGGCGGTAAGCATGCGGGGCCGCTATGGGGCTGGAGGTGTTGGTGGAGCCAAGGTTCCTTCCTTGCACCGTGGACCAATGCCGGGAGAGCACACAGCCAGCCTGGTGCCCGCTTAGCAGAATCGGTCCGGCTGCATCTCCCAGTCCAACCTCTCATCTGGCTCCGAGAGGGTGGAGAGGATCGCCAAAACTCGATGGCAGCAGCTGTGGTGGCGTGGCGGCATTGGAGGAGGAGAAGCTGGCTGGTGGCTCGGGGTGAGCCATTGGAGCAGGTACTCCCAGGGGAGAACCTCCCCGCTGGATCCTTCGGGAGGTCCGTTCATTCTGTCATGGTGTAGGTGAGTTGAGCGGTTGCGAGGATCCAAATGCTGGAGAGAAAGCAGGCAGCCAGACAATCTGGAACATGTAAAAGTCCTCAATGTTGGACACACGCAGGACATGGAAACAATGAACCGACCAGACACACAGAACTGAGAGGGTTTAAATACATGAGGAGCCGGGAGCTTGGGAGCTTGGGTGACGAGAGGCAGGTGGAAGCAATTAACAGGGACACATCAGAACGGGGAGACAGGACAGAGTGTGACACTATGGAACTGTAGCTTTTTTCACCAGCAGAAAATAATCAGTTTTGAATTCAAATAAACAGAGTTTTTATACATATGTTTTACCTACAGTCAGCTGATTGATGTTTGCACTGGAACGAAAACGTTGACAGAATGACAAATACCGTTAATGCGTGTGAATATTAATTCCACAAAATTTAAAATGGCAGTAGAAGTCTGAAATAGGTGCTAATAGGATTGAAAGGCCCACAGCTCTGATCTGTGTTTTACAACATCTAATTTACTTTAATGAGCTTGAAAGTCCTATAAACACCTTTAAAATAAACCTCGGGAGACGCTGTGCTGGGAAAAGCCACTAACAGATTCATTAAATGTGCACAAATGTTTGTTTAGTGCAAAAGCCACACATGAAAATGATGTTTCGTACTTTATTTTGTCTTCTTGTCATTAGCAAGTCAAGGTTTTCCAATAAGAAGTTGTCATTGTATGTCTCATTCATGCACTTAAATTTTAGGTTTAATATCTGGACAGAAGTTTTGAAAATGACGCAAATATTATTGCCACAGCATCAGCTGCCTTGATTTTAATGATGGCAGTTTGCATAAACTCCAGATTGTTATGAAAAGCAATCAGATGAATTACAGCTTATTGCTGTGAAATGATGTTAGATCAGAGTGAGTTTACAGAGATGATTTTCAAACCTTGCTCTTTCAGCTTGCTTCAGACTCACTACAAATATTTTCAGCTCATTTTATGCCCACTTATCCAAAATAGCAAAACAAAATGAGGTGTTTTGCAAATTCATTAAACACAAAACTCCAAATTATCTCATTTACGCATGTTGAGACCATGAAATTCTTCAAACTGTGTTTCACTGCTCGGGTGAATTATTTTTGGCAGCGCCATAACCTTTTCGACAACGATCATGCGAACTTGGCACTCATTTCTTTTGGAAGCTTCTCTCGTTCCTCTTGACAGAAATATTTCCCCTTAGTTGGACTGGGAGCACCAGTGCACCATTTTAATCCACCGTGCTATGTCGGGTTCAGATGTTTTACAGGTTTTTGGGCAACGTGTCGGCTCAGTTGTGCGTTAAATTTCACTACAATGAGTACAACACTTACACGCTGATGTTAGTAAATTAGCACTGTTGGTAAATAAAAAATGTAGCATGCATATTAATTATGTATTTGCATATTCATTTAAACAGAATAGCTCCCTAAAGGCTACCTTATTCTCTAGTGAGTTCATCCAGTTCGTGAACATTGGTTGTGTCAAATATCCAGAGAAATTAACGTCCCATGATTGTTAGTCATTAGTCTTGATTAGAAATTTATGATATAAGATTTGATTAATTTATTTAATGTTAACTTCGGAGAATGTGTCAAAGCATCCATTTCATAAAAACCTGTAAAGCCTGTTAATAAATAAATCCAATTTCTCTAGTCTAGTCAGATGCGCCAAGCAAGGAATAAATCCAATTTTCTTCATTTCAATGCATTTATTTCACAGTAAAACAAACATAAAACAGACTCAACGAGAAAAAAAAAATATATAAGCCTATTTATTTATTTGTTTTTTAATTTATATTCTTTTTAAAAATAATTAAAATAACATGGCGTACCATATATAAGCTCATACTAAATCTGAAAGGAAGCAAAATCATAAATCTGAGTTTATTGTGGAATAAAGGAATATTTGTCATTAAACGTGCAGGTGCAAAGGTCATAGACTTCATTTATGAGATAAATATATTTTGATTGCAGATAGATTTGTTTTTTACTGACATTTATGTTTTAGTTTTTAATTATTTATTTCTTGGCATTTTATGCAACTCAAAGTAATAAGGTCATGCCCTCAATTTGTGCCGTTTTTGCACGCTCCACATGATGGCGAGCACGAGCACGAGGTGTCCCAGTTTACTCTAAGAGCATCCCTCACAGTAGAGAATGGGGATCTGTAAGGAGACCAGAATTTGGATGTTTGCACCTTCAAAATAAAGGTACAGATTTTATTTGACAAAAAGGTGTTCGTGACTAGATCGCTTGAGTGAAGTCATAAAATGTATTTCTTTCTTTGAAAAAAATCTGTAGAAAAATTATTTTGGTACTATGCTTTTGAAAATGTGGCTGTAGATTAAAAATGTGGTTTTAATGTGTTGTGATTTTTGTAGAATATTTGCTTTTGTTTTTTCCCTTGCACTGTATTGCAGACACCATTTTTGCTGCTGTTCTTGCACAACAGAAACATAAAGCTGATCTAATTATGATTTTGGAGCGCCATTTAGCCATGATGGGTTTTTCCCTTAAAAACTTGAAAACAACATAAGGTTACCAGATTTTTGGAAAATTCAATGTTTCATCATTACATTTTTTATTCATTCACACATTTTCCATCGACATAGCCACATAAAATCAATTTAAATCTTTTTAAAACGTGTATATCCCCAAAGTATTACTTTTTTGTGATGTAAGAACTCCATATGTTGTCATCTAACGCTATTTATTAGAAATGAAAGTAGCAAATATATACATTTTGGGGAACAAGTTGCAGTTAAGATTAAAAATCTTTTGACAGCAGCTTTGCAATACAAGAAAATTGGATGAAGGTAAAAAATAAATAAATAAACTGCACCAATTCACTGTAAATCAGCCTTTGCAGGTGCTTAGTTGCTGTTTCCACTCTGCTGCTTTTGAAATTGTATGTATAAACAAATAAACAAGTAAATAAATAAACTCTAATTTGTTTGGGATACTGGTAAGGTTAATTAAAGGAAACAATAAATTCTAAATTAGCTTTTGGATACTGCAACAAACAGTATACTTATTTTAGTACTCCTGAGTACAAAAAAAAAAAGAACAGAAAAAAATGTAATCATCCTGATTTGCAGAGGTGTGATCTCCAAACACATGACTTGGACTCGAGTCAGTTTTGAGTCATTATTTTAATGACTTCTGACTTGACTTGATGAAATCTACAAAGACTTACGACTTGACTCGGACTTGAACGCCAATGACTTGCAACTTGACTTGCCTTGCATCTGTTGACTTGATGATGACTTGAGCATATTTGATATTTTAGCACAAAAGTGGCACGACATGGACAAAAGTCATAAACCATTCTTCATTCTGGGTTAGATTTGCACTTTGTTTATAATCAATTTCAGTTGCACTTCCTGCTTGTTTGAGCAAATAAATGAAGCTTTAAGAAGCTTTAATTCTGGAATTTATTTATTGTCACTGTCATTAAATGGAAGTTGATTATGACTTGAAAATTTCTAAGTCGCAGACTTGGACTTTTACATCATTGCATTTGGGCTCGATTTGGACTTGGTTGTGTTTGACTTGGACTTGACTCGAGACTTGACTGGAAAGACTTGTGACTTACTTGCGACTTGCAAAGCAGTGACTTGGTCACACATCTGCTGACTTGACAGCAAATACGTTCAATTATGTTGTCCGGGTCTATTTTATTTTGAAAAGCATGACCGGATGTACCTTCCTATAAATACGCCCCACTTGACGCCAGTGCCGAGCGGTCCATTGAGCCCTGTCTTTAAATAGGAGTAATACCCCGGCGTACAGTTGTGTTATCCTTGCGTGTCTGGTTCTTAGTTTCTCCTTTGCTTAAAAACCTCACAGATAAATTCCAGGATGCCTGCTAGTAAAAACGTCCAAGGTAATAAATACCATAACAATGCAGCACATTGTGTTTTTATATCGCGACCTTTATGTCTGCTAGCTTGAGCTTTTAGTCTTTACAATAGAGCATCTGCGGCCGACTAGTCCTCCGACCTTACACTCGTTGGTGTGGATTTAAACGACTCCGTTTTCTCTGTTTTTCAGGCGGGAAAGCTTTCGGTCTGTTGAAGGAGCAGCAAAAACAAAAACTGGACGAGATAAACAAGGTAGATGTCGTGTCTTTACTTCAGCGTCTCTAACTGTATTTGAGTTAATGAGGTCGCGTGCACTTGACTTGGCATTGGCTTTGTTTTTGAACGTCACGCGCAGAACACTGAAATTCAGGGCATAGTGGCTTCTGTTGGCTAAGGAATTCCCAGCATACCGGTTGGGTGTCATTGGAGCTGTCCGTTATAATAAAGCGGGCGCATTTCATTGATTTTTTTAGTCTCCTGGCACTTGTTGCATTTGCTCCCATGCTAATGCGTTTAGGGCCATTTGTCCTGATTTGCTTTTGGTCATCATGGCTACTCTGGCAGATAACAGGTGTGTGAATGAGCTCTTTGTTAAACGTGCTGGGGCTGTCATCAGCTCATCTCTGTGACAGTTTACAGCACAACACTCCCCCTCTATCTGCTCTTGCTTGTGCATCAGATAAAATAAAAGTGAGGTGACCCTTGATTCCTAAGGCTAATAAAAAGCACGCACCATGGCTGAATCTGGGATCTTTGCTCCGGAACATCGCAAGTTCAGATCAGGACATCATCCTGAGTTTTGGACTTGAGGTGGTCTCTAAAGCTGAAAAGTCATTCCACATAGAATATTTCCCTAAAATTGATGCTAAGAAGTAATTGTCGTAAACAAAAATAAGATGTTAAAGCAGCAATATTTGGGGTCCAAAAGTTTTTGTGTTTGTAATCTTGTGGTTAAGAAGCTATTGTTTGAGAATTGAGGGAACTGTCATTTAAAGAATTAAAACGATGTCAAAACATATTTCAGTCCTGTGTATCCAGTCTAGACGTCAAGCTGGGTGGTGAGCTGACTTTATCACTGCACATCAATGCCAGTAAAGTCTTGTTTCTTTCAGTTACGCCATTTAGCCAGATTGATTCTTGGTGTGATGTTTTCTGAACATTTTTCAGTCATTCATGCATTTTATTACTTCAAAATTGAATTACGCAAACTCTGTCCTAGTAGGAGTAAATGCATCTTTGCTGGATCGTCTTCAGAAAGTCCAAAATGCTGCTGCACGCTTCTTGACTAATTAAGATACACACGTCTATTACTCCTATCCTCGCCGACTTTCATTGGCTCCCTGTCTCCATTTGAGTGAATTTCAAAACTATGGTGTTTATTCATGCCCAGGCTCCTGCGTTCCTCTCTGACATCATTAATCCCTTTATGTTTGTTATCCACTGAACTATCATTATTAACTGTAGGGATGCACCGAAGGATTGGTATTTGATCGTAATCGGCCGATAACGCCCCTATCGGTTTTGATCGGAGTTTTGAAAATGGATCAAAGCAGACCGATCAGGTAGGGTTGTCACGGTAACCAGTGTAGCGGTAAACCCCGGTAAAAAAAAAAGTTGACAATAATAATAACCGTCTTGTTTTTTAAAAAAACTATATTATCTTGGTGGGTTTACCGTGGCTGCGGTGTAGGCGCGGTGACCCTTACCAGCCACCGTATCATCTGCTGAAGTTGCCGGCGGCACATGCACGCTTTGTTGTTTACAACCAAAACTTTCTTGAAGCTAAAGCTGAAATAATGGTCAAAGGAGGAGACGGCAGCACAGGAGGACATTTATTATCCCTCAAAGAAGACAAAGTCGGAAGTACGGGCATATTTTAGATATTTGAAGAATGCCGAGGGACAGTTGATAGAAGACGGCTATCCTGTTTGCAGCACGTGCAGAAGATGTGTCTGTGAAAGGCAGCAACGCTTCAAATCTCATGACACATCTGCGTGACCATCACCCACAACTCTACAGTCAACGCAAGGCAAGCTAACATTAGCGTTTTAGCTAAAATGCGTGATCCGAGGATTTGGGTTGAGGGAGAATGCAACGAGTCGCTATGTAAAGCAGCCGCAGCGCCGCTACCTGCATATAAACCGTGTCACGGACACCCCCATGTTGAAATGACGCTATGCATTACAGGGCTCCCAGGGGCAGATAAGAGTTGGTCTCTCTCCGAGAATAATTATGAATTTAACAACGATTACTGCCTGATGACATTTTCCCACATCTGCAAAGCTCACTGGAAGGACACAAACCGAGGTCAATATTTTCCTGATATAGGGTTTATTACTCAAGTAAGGGTAAAAAAGTATCTGATTAGAAGGCTACTTGAGTACTGAGTATCATCTGATCTAATATTTTTAAATGATGACATCAAACAGACATAAAATAAGAAGTTATGGGCAAATATTGGTATTTTAAAGACTAAAGGGAAAAAATGTAAACAAATAAACAACATCATTACAAAATAACACATTTCAGGCAAAATTTAGACACAAACTGAGGACAATATTTCCTGACATACAGGGTGCATTTAATTGTGTGAAAATGTAGCACGTTTAAAAAATACCGCGATAATACCGAAAACCGTGGTAATTTTGGTCACAATAACCGTGAGGTTGGATTTTCACACCGTGACAACCCTAATACAGACCATTTTAGATTAGGTTACATTTCCTTTATTGCCAAATTGTGTAGATTGTAGCACTCATAATGATGTTGTAGAAAATTTCTGGCCAATCCACGTGATCGGTATCTGTGATCGGTATCTGTGATCAGCATTCTTTGATATCGGTATCGGTGTTCGGCAGCAAAAAACCTGATCGGTGCATCCCTAATTAACTGTACCTGTTGTACGATGTAAAGCTCACAAAGAGCGTGCTTTTTCTCTATGCATGTTAGGCAAGCCCCTTCCCTCGAGCGTTTTTAAAGCCAGCCTCAAGAGTTATTATTATCTATTACGTTCACCTGTGATTGCTGTTGTGTACTCCTCTACTTGTTTTATTTTATGGACTGTTTTTTTTTCTTTGTTTGTATGCTGTTCAGTAGGGCTGCACGATATTAGGAACACCTGCGATGTTTGATAACAGCACTTAATATTGCGACATCGATATTACTTGCGATAAATGAACAAATACTAAAGTATGCAGTGTTGATGTCGTCTGGCGTGTGACGTCTGCTCTGGGTTCAAAGTAAACAAAAACTAATGCATGAATTCCATTACAACATAACATTATTATTGCAAAAATATGCAGCTGCACCTGCTACTGTATTAGCAGCAAAACAACAAACCGCATGCATGCAGTTTCTCAGTGACTTTAAAACATCACCTCCACCGTAAACTTTTTCTGATGCTCCAAATACAGAAAAACATCCCTTACCAGGGTTTTTGAATAAATAAATAAATCAGAAAATAAGTTTAAATGTTAAATAATAGTTAACATCACTTAAATGCAACAGCAAATTCTCTCATTGCTACTGAGCATTTTCTCCACTTATGTGGTTATGATATAAGGCTGTTGCTGTTATTGGGAAGTGAACTGTGCTGGGCCAAACTAGGAGAATATTAAGATTTTCTGAGGGAAAGAGAAAAACAATTGTCTTCCTTTCAGAAGAGGAACTGGCAAAAAATTACATGTAAAATATGTGAAAACGTTTGTTTTTAACCCCAAATTGAACAAGTTTACCTAGATCTTAAAAAGCAGCTCAGATGATGAAACTGCAACTATGATTCTGATAACAAGCTAACAAATTGAACTAGCTCCTCTAAGATAACCGGCTAGCAGAGCTTCTGACTGACAGTTTATGTGCAGCAGCAAATCAACTATCCTGAGTAACAAGGTTATAAAAGCTCATAAATGAAAAATCACTTTGATGTGTGGGGGAACTTTTCCAGGCTCTCTTTAGCAGGGTGGGACTGGAAGGAGAGTGCTGTAGCCTTTTAGCTGGAAGCTAACCGGAGCGTGGGGCTAACGTCACCACCCGGTGGAACACTAGCGACATGGATGTAGGTGGGTTGGTTCACCGGGTGTTCTGAGAATTTCTCCTACCCGGTAAACCGTCCTACCCGTTGTTACTGAGCATGTGGGCGCATGCGCACAACACATAAGGGGAAAGCTACTCCGCTGTCATGTTTGCAGGAAAATAGATAAGTAGTAAGTATTAGTACTTTTTTTCTTTGGTTAGGGTTAGGGTGAGGGTGAGGGATAGGGTTTGTGTCATGTAAAACACTGTAAAATTCTCCTACGGGTAGGACGTTTTGCCAAAGTAGGACGTTTTCTCAGAACACTGGCACGTGTCGGAGTCAGCCCGGTAAAAATGCTTAACAACACCGAGCGGACTCACGTTCACGTTTGAAAGCAGCGCTGATTCCAGAAACCTCAGCACAAAGTGCGTTCGTTGCTCTGAGCCAGCATGACGAACAAGGGAACGGCGCCACTTACTCAGTTCAGGTGTTGCTTTCCATCCTAAGGGTCTACGTAGGGGGCGGGCGTATTACGTGAACGGACCCATCTGATTGGCCGCATATCAGAAGGGCTACATTTGATTGGTCAAATAATACTTCCACGTAAAAAACAGAGCTGGTTTACAAAAAGCTGATGTATGACACGGATGGAAATGTTTGAGCCAAACATTTATCGCCATTTTTGGCATGCTTTGCGATGGGCCTATCGCACGTCCTGTTATCCCGATGACGATAATTTTTCAATATATTGTGCAGCCCTAACGTTCAGCACTTAGGTCAGCTCCAATACTCTTAAAATGTGCTTTAGAAATATATGTGGATTGGATATTTCCCCTAAACACTAGTTGATGTAGGTTTTACTTTCCTCCAAGAATTCCCGTTACTGCAAGGCAAACTGAACATAGTTGCTAATATCAGAGCTGCAAAGTTTTACAAAATGTTGCCACATATTAAAATTTTGTCTCCTATAGGTTTGAAAACACCATTTTATTTTCATCTTTTCACAATGATGTTTTGTTGGATAAATTGAAATATTGATTTTGAGCAACACAAAGCAGGGGGAATGCACGCTCACATGTGCATGCCTATAAAAAGGCATCCAGGTAGATGTAGGATGTTTTATCTTGCACTTGTGCAGATCCACCTGCAGAACAATCCTGAGTTGAGATTGTTGGAGATTTAGCTCAGTGGAGTCACGCCTCACTGGTTAAATGTCACATTTTAGATGATTTCCTCTTTAAATCTGAGTTTCACAGAGACGGAGAGAACACATTCACGTTGTTTTCCTCCTCTGTCTTTCAGAAAGAGAATTTCTCCCACACAGCATATTGCATCATTATAATTTCATTAGCGTAGTTCCTTCAAGGCTTCATTTTTCCCTTGTGAGTTGTTCCAATTAGGAAAGGCATGATTAAACGATGACAAACTAGGGAGACAAACATCTTAGGAGCAAAACAATATCCTAATGTTTTGCTGTTGAGTTGAAACCTTTGACTGGACACCACCTAATGTTTGATCTTATGGCGTTTTCTTCTCTGGTCCTGCATTGTGTGGAACCGGAGTCACTTAATACGCTGTTGAAAATATCTGAGTTTCAGTTGCACCCAGACCTTTTTTGTTTTCATCCTTTCCTGATTAGTTTTGTCACCTGTTTTCTCCCTTCTCAGGAATACCTGGAGGACCAGAAATACAGGGATGAGGAGGGCCTGGCTGAAAAACTGGAAGGCTTAAAAAGTGAGTAAATCCAGCTCGACTGTATCATCATCCATCCCTCTGGTCTGCATTCTTTCCCTCCTGTTTTCTGTTCTACCTTCAGCATTTGTTGGTTGGCATGCTGTACACCCACTTTGGCCCTTTTGATCACCCGCATTTTGTTTTTCTCTGTGGGAAATACCGACCACTGCGATTTCTGAAAGATTTGCAGGGCCAAGCCCTCCGTGGCCCTGGAGGAATGTGCTGGGGCGTTTCCTCTGCTTGTTGTTTCAATATTCAGAAGTTTGCTGAGTAAACTCTCAGCTCCTGGGAGCAGAGAAAACATTGTTGCTAATTACAGTAACAAAACGGCACCATTTGTAAGCTCTGTGTCATCCCTCAGCTGCTTCTCTCACACACACACACACACACACTAACACATGTTTGCATATCTTTTTTCGTTTGCAGTTTTCATGAAAGATTGACATCTGGGAGTTTATTCTAATAAAAGGGCCTTAAAATGGGAAACTTGCTACAGTGTTCTAGTTATTGAGAGCATGCTGGAGGAAATGGAGCAGTGATGTATAAACAGAAAGAGGTCCTGGGAGGCTTCATGTGTTTTTTTTTTCTTCTGTTCCCTTTTTTCGTCCTCCTGTCCCAGCATGAGGTCAACAGTGATCCACTAGCAGGGGTGTCCAAAGTTTTCAAGACAGGCCAAAATCATCAAGTTCCTTATGGACCACAAAAACATCTTTTTATTTTTTGCTTTTTAAACAAATGCAATAATTCAGGTGGATTTATTTTTTGTACTTCATAAAGACCAGTCTTACTCCTTTAGTGTTTCCTGATTCTTGGGCATCTTGCCTCTGATTGGCTAACAGCAACAAGACTCTACCAATGACTCTGCTCTGTAATTTTGATGTTTTATCTCCACAAATAACACAAGCCTGAAGGAGTTCTGCCATCTGGTGGAGCTGCTAGTGCTAACTTTCTTTTTGTGACTTTTTTGTCATCATACACAGCGCAAAAAGAGCTTGTTTTTACCTTTACCATCATGTTTCAACATCCACTGCTGTCTTTGTCAGAGCAAACACTGATGTTGGTGGCGTCACTTCTGTTTGCTCAGACGACGGTAGCAATGGATGCCAAAACATGGCGACAAAGGTAAAAACAAGCTTTTTTTTGCTCTGTATGATAAAGAATCTCAAAAAATGATGTCAAATAGAAAATGCAGAACAAATGTAATGCTAATGCTTAGCTTCTACAAGCTGAGACGCTCTCAGCTGGTTGCTGGATACTAAATCAACAACAGCCTTTTGTGGTCGAGAGCCAAGATGGGTGAGTCCATGAATGCAAATTTTCAGAATGAGGTAGATCTGAGTGGTTATCTTTACTCAGATTTCACCATCCAGTGATTCCCCCTATAGGGATGAGCCGGATACTCGTTTCAGACGAGTGTCCGGTACGGATAAAGCATTTTTGACGAATACGAGCATGAAACGAGTAAACCTCGTAAATATCTGTAATCGTGCTGAAGGAAAATCCTCATTGGGTAACTGACTGTCTTCCACGCTCTGTGATTGGCCAGTCACATAGAGCGCCCGCCCCTCACTACACACAAAACTCTCTAGCCCTCTCACAGACAATTTGCTGTAGCGTGCTGCCACTTCCGTGACAGCGGGGGTTTGGATTTTGTAGCTTTGGTGCTAAATTTTCAGCCTGCGTTGGTGACACACTGCCATCTATTTTCTAATGATGGCTATTTTCACGTTCAGCATGCACTTGGTGACCAATTTTTATTTAAAAAAATAACAAGACGGTCCATCTCCTTTCTTTTTTGTATTGTTTCTATCTGTAAACATGCTGTTAACTTGCTTTGCACATCTTCTAATTGAAATCTGTCTTTATTATAAATATATTATTTTTTCATAAGCTTGCGTTTGGTGCCCCCCCCACGCTGCATGCATACTCTGTGCATTCAACTGTTGCACTTTTTTAAAGGCAAAATATTATAAAAGGTTCAATAATATGCATCAGATTGGTGTTTAGTTCCCTTTTTCCCATCTTATATTTATAGTTAAAATATTTTAAAATTTTTGACCTACATTTCAGTAACATTTTAGGTTTGTATTAATGACACTCATCTTAGTCAAGATAACATATGAATATATCCAGTAAAATATAATGCATTTCAGTAACATGTATTTGTGTTGGAAATGCTAATAACATTTCATTTCAGCTGCTAACAATGTAATGGTGGCATGTCTATTGTGTACGGGTTGGCAATAATCCAGTTCAAATTATGTTCAAAGATAGAAGCATTTGTGAATTATATACTACAATGGCTTGCCGTTCTTCCTCCTTCCGTGTGCAGCGGTTCTGATTCGTAGCGCTGCAGGATGCAGAATAAACAGGATGGTGGGGACTTTTCATCCGCTTGTAGAGTTTAGTCTTTCTTAGTTTTACAATCATCATAATTTTTTTTCTGCGCCACTGCTACCCATTAGCTTTAGCATTAGCCAATCTGCATGTAGCCACACTTTTGACCCCAAACTTTGGACCGGTTCTGCTTTTGTGACTTTGCTGGTTCCTTTATTTTCCTCCACTGCATCCAGATGACCACACTGTGCGCCAGTAAAAAGCATTTTTCTTGCATGTAACTTACTTTTGTTCATTAAAGTTCTGGGGAAAATGGTAATTCAAAGATGTTGCACCCGTGCTACTTTAAAAATAGACAGACATGCACAGTTTTTTTTTTCCGTCGCACTGTACAGCCCTGCTCTGATATGGAAGAGCCTGGGGAAAAAGTCAGGACATCAATTGCACCAACCATAGATGTGTAGCTAGCGAGAAAAGCAATTTTTTTATTTTTGTCTGCAGCGGTTTTAGTGCTTTCCGGTGCACCGCTGCTGATACAGCGCCATGTAGTGGTGCAACGCTGCAACTGCAGTTAAAATAACATCCATATAGCTCGGGGCAGAGTGAAATTAGCTGGAGGCAGCTGCCACGCAAATTTGAATGCAGGAAAAACCCTGGTTAGTCATTCTAGAAATTCACAAATTGCTTTGAGGGCTGCTAGCGGCCCCTGGGCTGCATTTGCTACATGCCTGAACAAGGGCTTCATATCAGGGTCATCTTTTCTTCCATGAGGGCTAAAAGTTTAGGTGTGTGTGTGTGTGTGTGTGTGTGTGTGGAAAATAACTACTGATGCATGTGTTGACGTTTGTTTACACCAGCCGTTTCTCTGTGTGTGTGTGTGTGTGTGTGTGTGTGTGTGTGTGTGTGTGTGTGTGTGTGTGTGTGTGTGTGTGTGTGTGTGTGTGTGTGTGTGTGTGTGTGTGTGTGTGTGTGTGTGTGTGTGTGTGTGTGTGTGTGTGTGTGTGTGTGTGTGTGTGTGTGTGTGTGTGTGTGTGTGTGTGTGTGTGTGTGTGTGTGTGTTCAGCATTCAGCATTAAACTATTTGTTTAAAGCCATTCTTACAGCTACATTTGTTTTCTGTAACATGTGACCAACTCCACATTTTCTTTCTGTTGGGCAGAAATGTTTCTGCAGAAAGATTTTGAACGAACAAGAACCAGTGTAGAAGTTTGAGTCGGTTTCTGTAAACGGTTATCTGCTAATGAATTTGAAAGAGGACGTTTATTTTGCAATCAGCAGGTCTTTTGAATGGGAAACCCCTTTAGATGATTTGTTATTGCACCAATGTGACTCATCAGCAAACTCACCAAACAGCTCGAGCGAAATAAAAGTAAACTGCACACAACGTTAAAAGATGAGAAAAATCTTTGTTTGAAATGTGACATTACTGTGATTTTAGTGAATTCGGTCCAGGTGAAACCCAGAAAGCTGAAGTTTTGTTCATGTGACCTTCATTCTGTGGCTGCAGATGATCAACAGGCTGCCATACCACAAGTGGTCCTCTCAAATAGTTGCTTGTCTGCTCCGAGGCCCGATCCTGAGAGGTTTAAAACAGGCCGGGCATTGTCCCGCCCCACTCCCCATGGACTCACACAGCTCCCCTTTCTCCTGTCCAACACACACAGAACTTCCTTTGTGTCCCACAAATAGCTTGAGTAATCTGACTAGAGGGGTCCTCTGGAGAAAAGACAGAGCAGGGAAGTTTAGAAAGAAGCAAAAAATGTCTGTTTGCTTAAATCACTTTAGTACACAGTAAATCTGCTTTTCAACGTCTCTGCGAATGCAGCCGTTAGTATTTATTGAACACCTTGAGGATTATCTTCAGATCTGCCTGGACTCATATGTTTAAACTTCAACATTTGTTGCTAAAGACATCTTTTGGCATCATATACTAGTGTCTAAAAACATTGCAATAATAATAAAAAGGGAAACGCAAATATTACATGGATTCATTACACATGGGTAAATATTTCAAGCCTTTTTTGTCATTTTAATGATTATGGATTACAGATTATAAAAATTCAGTGCCTAAATCAGGACAAGTAGGGGAGTAGAGGGAGGTGGAGTGTACAGTCGGTAAAGACGACTCTCCCTTGCCCTGCCTCCAACATGCCTCCATCTAAATAGTATAGGTTATCCAGAGTTATCTCTGTAGTTATGCTGCTATAGGCTTAGACTGCTGGAGGATACACTGACCACTTTCCACACTCTACTGCTTTCTTCTACTATCTGCTCTTTAACTGTATTACTTTCTGCAATTTCAGCTGTTAACTTTATTTTCTCTCCAAGTGTTTTTCTCCCCAGAAGAAGCTACAACGATGTTCTGCTGAGCTGTGGTGGCCTCGTTGAGGGGGCCATCGACTAGCACACTGCTGCTAAACACTTAAACATTCTCCTTCTCCTGATAATAACTTTTTGCTTTCCTTGACGTTGGATGTGCTACTACTAGTTTACCCATTTAATTAGAGATCCACTAGGATAAATACAATAAAGTTGATCTTTCACCAAACAGAATATTTACTAAGACATCACAATAGAACTATAGACACGCGTGTGTGTGTGTGTGCGCGTGTGCGTGCGTGCTCTGTCTTCTCGATCCCCAGTGAGTCGTGGAGGATGGCTGCTTATACTGAGCCAGGATCCTCTGGAGGTTTCTTCCTGTTAAAAGGGAGTTTTCCTCTCCACTGTTGCTGCATGCTTGCTTAGTATGAGGATTGCTGTATAGTCACTGACACTAGTCAGTGACTTGATGCAATTTGCTGGGTTCCTTATATGGGAAACATTATTTCTGATTGGCTTTATGAACTGACCTGAATTGGAATGTTGATTATGTGAAGTGCCTTGAGACGACTCTTGTCGTGATTTGGCGCTATATAAATAAACTTGAATTGAATTGGAGAATTAGAATATTATGAAAAATGCATTTGAGAGTTTCATAGGAGTAGACTGAGGCTGGAGTCGGCACAGGTGAATCCTACACATGAGCTGCTGTCACATTCCTCAGGTCAAACCACTCCGGAGCCAGAGACAACTCGGATGAGTCTCACCTGGGCATGGGGGAATTAGAACTGGGACCTCAGTTTTAAAACTTTACTTCAGCTCAGTCAGCAAAACAAAAGTATAAAACAATGTGTAGGCAGAGCTGCACACAGTTGCTGTTTAATAAATCACTCCTCCACTTGGAGGTCTAGTTAAAGCAGTGTCACTGAGTCTGAAACCGAGCTGCTTGTGAGTGAGGCACAGAAAACTGCCTTCCAGTGGCTGTGTTGTTGCAGCGGTGAACATTTGTGGCCACAAAAAAAGGAAGTGGGCAGATCTGAAGGTGGAGGCAAAAAAGAAGAGGGCAGTAGTCGTTTTATTGAAGGATAAAGTTAATTAAACCCAAAGCTTTGGGCAGGACATCTCATATTTTGTTCATCGTATGAAACAAATGTCAGCCTGTCATGTTGGCCAGTTCTCGCTGGAACAAGCTGGTTGCAGGAAACTCGAGAGTCGTCTAAAGCTGCAGGTGCACCTGAATTGCACGGTTCCAGCAGCTGGGCTGATCTAACACAGCCTAACCTTAACCCAGTTCAGCACATGGATCTAATACAACTGCTCTGTGGAATCTAAATCAGGTGATCAGTCAGGCGTCATCCTGGGACAGGAACTCTTCAAGGTCTCTAAAGTTTCATATTTGACTTGTGCAACTTTCAGACCCTCTTCCGTGCTTAAGCCATCTTAATGAGTCCCCTGCACTGTTGCTCGGTGGTCCAAAGTTGGTATTCATTCATTAAAATGCTCATCTGAAAGAAAAGGTTAGCAAACATCTAGTGGTTAAAACGTCGTCATTCTAGAAAGATCTGATTTAATTTGATTCTTGAGGGAAACTTAGATCTTAAGTTTTCTTGCTACTCTGGGAACTTCTTCACACACCTGTGAGGCTTTTTTCTGTGTTGAAAACCCAAACCAAAACACCGACACACACACACACACACACACACCCTTCTGTCAGCTGTTTTCTACCCTCCCTTTGAGATGTTTGCCATAATCAGAGTTTAAGGCTGACACCACCAGACAGATGTCTGCTGACACGTGTGTGTGTGTGTGTGTGTGTGTGTGTGTGGGGGGGGGGGGGGGGGGGGGGGGGTTCCTGTTGGGTTGTTGTTGTTGTTGTTGGGTTTTTTTTTTTTTAAGGCTGACACCACCAGACAGAAGATGTCTGCTGACACATTGTGTGTGTGTGTGTGTGTGTGTGTGTGTGTGTGTGTGTGTGTGTGTGTGTGTGTGTGTGTGTGTGTGTGTGTGTGTGTGTGTGTGTGTGTGTGTGTGTGTGTGTGTGTGTGTGTGTGTGTGTGTGTGTGTGTGTGTGTGTGTGTGTGTGTGTGTGTGTGTGTGTGTGTGTGTGTGTGTGTGTGTGTGTGTGTGTGTGTGTGTGTGTGTGTGTGTGTGTGTGTTTCCCTTTTTGTGTTTTTGTTCTGCAGACAAATATGCTGAGTTCGACCTGACTGATGAAGGAGAGATCGGTAAGTAGTAACCAGCTCTGAAACACCAACTGGACTGCAGATAACAACTGTCAGCACAGCTGACCAATGGGAGGAGGGAACAGTAAATAATACTGTGTGTGCTGTCTGGTTGTGGTGACCAGGACTCCACCTGGATCCATTGTCACAATTGTGTCCTCTGTGTAAAGTGAGACGCGTTCATTTGGCTCAGAGCAGGTGTTTTTTTTTATTTATTTATTTTTTTATTGTCTTTATTTCATTCCAAAAAAAATAACACAACAGATACTAAACAATATTCATGAAAACACAATATATATTTGAATGAAAGATGCAGTCTTGGTCAGAAAGTCTTTCTCCTGACAGCTTTTTATTTGTTAGTTTTTTCCTTTACACTGATTACAAATTCCCAAATACCAAATCAAAGTTTTTTTGTGATTCTGCAGAGAGGAATCAAGTTTAATCACTTTTATCTAGACTCGTCTGCTGACAGTCCCATTAATAACACAAAGACTGCTCATTGCTCACTATATAAATGTGATGCTATTGCATGCTTTATTGAACATTGAGTGCTCCATATATGACTGATTTTAAATGAAGGACACAATTTTTTGCACTAAGGAACACTTGTGCTGTGCAGTCGGTCTTTTCCTTGCTGGAGCTGCCCGTAGAAGTGAAGTTGATACAAGTGCTTGAACCTCTGTGATCGGCCTTGCTACAGCTGGAGAAAGCCAAAATTCAAAATTGACAGAAAAAAACATTAAAGGAAAAAATTTTAATTTTGAGCAAACACAACATTCTTCCTGCTGCTCTGTGCCAAAGCTCTTCCACAAGGCAGCATTCCATTTAAACCCAACAATTTTCTCATTTTCACCGTTTTTGCTCCAAAGGTCTAGCTAAAATAAAAATGTGTTGCTGCAGAAACGTTAAAGTGACTGTGTGTAATTTCCAAACATGGTATCTATTATGGCGTCACCCAGCGACTTGGACCTGCTTCCATGTATTTAGACCCCATTTTTCATCAATTGGGCATCATTTCATTCATTTTCAACAACATTTCGATGGATATTTCCAGTGGTTAACAGTAAAAACTAGACATTGTCACTTTAAATGACTCCCTCTAAACTTTATAGAAACCAAGGTGTGCAACAGGTCAACGAAGGGAGGAGGGTGATGTGATTTGTTGAGGATATACGTGGACCTTCACTCTGTCACAGATATGATGGGACTGAAGAGGATGATGGAGAAGCTCGGGGTGCCCAAGACCCACTTGGAGTTGAAAAAGATGATTGTGGAGGCGTCCGGTGGCAGCAGCAACACCATCAACTACAGGGACTTCGTCAAGATGATGCTGGGCAAGCGTTCCGCCGTGCTCAAGTTGTAAGTGAACTCCTCTTAACGTGTTACGTTCACTTATTCTCAACATGTATACTGGTTCGTGGGGTTTGTTATGTCTGATTGGAAGGTTGCTGCTTTGTACATCAGCAGGTGGCTCAGGAGTGGTTTTATCAATCACCATGGCAACCAAAGCCTTTTGAAAATCCTATCTATCGTCAGCACCTTTATCTTGAGCTGGAATGATGAATGATTATAGGCTGGTTACCTGCTGTCATATCAAGCTGAGAAAAGCTCATCACATCATATCTATGAACTTCTTCTTTCATATTAAAAATAGTCTCAACTATAATGTTTGACTTCCAGTGATGCCTGGTGGGGGATGTCCTCTGTTTGTTTGGTATTTAATGGTGCGCTGAAGCTTTTTAAAGCAGCCTGGAGCTGGGTCGGCCTGCTCAAGCCTTTGAGTCTTGCTGCATGTCAGCTCTGTTGGCCGGACCCGAGCCTCAGTCAAATCTCATAAGCCCCAAAACATCGAACAAAACTCACAACTTTTCCTGCTTTGCCTTTAAACATTTTTGAAATTGCGTCCCATAATCCTGCAACATGCTATTTTTAAACATCTCATTTCCTCCTGCTCCCATTTCTCACTTTGTAACATTCAAGAAAATATTTGCTTTCTGTAAACCGTCTTTATTCACCGGGGCAGGGATACGCCGGTGGACAACTTTTTCGCTGAAACTTGGGACTTGTTATGTTTAAACATAATTAAATGTCAAGTTGCTAAAGTTTTCCATATTTTTCCTTTTATTAAACCCTCCCAGTGTTCCTGCTGATAACAGCGATTGTCTGCAGAGCTTTTCCTTCGAGGTGCCATTCTTTCTTTAGGGAGAGGAAATCAAAGGGAGCGAGTGCAAAATCACAGCAGAACATTGTTCTTTAAAGATTTTGGCAGAGCAACAATTGATTTTGTTGCCATTAGAGAAACTTTTTAGGACAGCTGGGTTTAGTTGGGGTAGACCGAAGGACACACAGGTCTTGTGGTTTGGTCATCCAGGGCTTGACCAGTAACTAGTAGCATCAAGTGATTTGGACCGAAAACGGTTTGATTTGGTTGGTTTCAGACTCTTCCTTGAACGTAGTATGTACTCTGTGAAAAGTACTCCAGTCCTTGAGTTTCACCAGAGAAGAAGCCATCAGTAAGTGGGGAGAGGGTAGAAAAGTCAGAAGTGAAAGTGGGTGCAGAAGAGTTTAAGTCGTCGTGTGCTGAATTCTTTATTGGGATCATTGGTCCTTATGAGCTTAGTGGAGCTTTGCAGAGTTCTCCAAAGAAGGAAATTAAAGACAGGAATTTACTCTAAATAGCTCCTGTCAGATAAGTGTCTGCTGCCTACAGCGTAAACCACAACTTCCTCGGCCCTTTTGGTTTGTTTGTAGTGACTCTTCACGCTGCTCGTAAACATGGCTTCTTGTATAGTCAGCATTTTATTAGGTTCACCTTGCCAGCACCTGGTTGGACTTACTTTTGCCTTCAGGGTCCCTTATTTCTTCTCATGAATTCAACTAGATGTTGGAAACATTCCTTAGTGGTCCTGGTCCTTCTTGACACATGGTTGCTGCAGATTGGTCAGCTGCTCGGTGATCTGGATCTCTCATTCCACCACATCTCAAAGGTTCTGGACTGGACTAAGATCCGGTGACTGTGGAGGCTGATGGAGTCCAGTGAACTTTTGCCTGCCTACTCAACCAACTGGTAGAGCATATCTAAAGTTTCTACATCTCATTGAAGGATCAAAGGGACTTTTCGGACTTTTGAATTTTTATGCTCGCGATTGCCCCCTCAGGCCAAAAGCGTAACGGCAGCTTCAATAGTAGGCTCGTGTACGAGGTGCACTTGCTGTACGTGCACACTCCTTAACGAAAGTAACAGCTGAGAAAGTCCTGTGTGTGGCCCGGAGGACAGAAGAACACAGCAAATTGATAAGAATAATGTGCCTCTGTCTCTGCAGCTGCACTTTCTCGTCGGCCGGCCGAACGTGCAGTGACTGAGGGAGCGAGCATGCGTGCCCTGGAGGACAGAGGAAAGGAGAACGCGCAGCTAATTAATTAAATAATGTGGTTCTGTACGTTTCTCTTCAGCACAGCCGACAAAGGTTTAAGATGGGTCAGTCCTCCTGCATGCTCAGATCATTCCCTTCCCTTGCTTGAAAAATTGTTCCAAAATGAAAGTTGAACCCACATCTTTTTCTATCTGTGAATTCAATGCCTTTCAGCGAGTCTCAGATAAAAATTTGGGCGTCTTATTACTGTAAAAAAAAAATATCATAAACTCCAATTGAACTATGTTCACACCCAGAATCGAACCACAGTCTTCTGCATGAGAGTCAGACATCTTACTAGGTGAGCTAAAGCACCAGTAACATTAAATGTATCTGTAACATTTATATCCTTGATGACAGCTGAAACAACGTTAATCCAAAGAACGGTTCGGAGCGAAAATGGCTATTTTGTTGCTAATTTGCAGGAAATATCTAGAAGAAAGTTCTACAGAAAGTAGCTAAGGGTCCTCATAAATGTAGCTAGGTTCATCACTAGGCGTTAGGAACAGCGACAAAGTCGCTGAGTTGGCATTACCTCACTCTCTGCTGCTAAAGCTACGGATAGCAAATGCTACGGACGATGCCTGAGCGTGAAAGCGCATGAAGCAGCCTGCTCGACCCGAGCATCTCTCTTTTTCTGTGATTTTACAGAAAAACAGGCAATCACAGTCAAAATGCCAGGGCTCATTCTACAGGACCAGGGCATTGCAGGAGAATGTATGAAGAAGAAATGTATTATTTCTATACATGTTTTGGCTGTCAAACTTCCTTAGAGTCCCTTTAAATGAACTTAACAAGAAAAAAAATAGTAAAACTAAATAATAAAGTATATGGCATTGTTTGAGGAAAAGGCGTAACATTGTTACCGTAAATCCTCTAATACAGGCCGGTATTCAATTAAAGGCCGGGTCTCCAATTTTGGCCGGAGTCGGCGGAGGTGAATAAAGGCCGGCCTCTTATTGTGGCCGGGTGGAATGTGGTAACAAGCAAGTACGGGGTCATTGTCTCACTTTTGATTTGCCAGTGACAGACCGCGAGGGTAACTTTAACCGTGCGGAGACGAAGAGGAGGCTGTGCCAGAGCGTCGGCACTGACACGCGATTGTTCATGTCGGTTCATTTCCTTTGATGTTTTCTGTCTTTTATTTGCGCCTGATGTGATTCGCTGCATGCTGTGGAGCGGGGCACATCACCTTGTCCTCGGGTGATGCACCGATCACTGATGCGGCCGCCAAGCACGGAGCACTCCACTGTTTTTGCGGTCTGTAGATCTGCCTCCTGAGCACGGCCACAGTAACAATCAGGTGTCGCCACCTCAAAAAATTTTTCTTTTATTTGCGACTGATGCGTTTGGCTGTGGAGCGCCCGGCGCATCACCTTGTCATCCGGTGACGCACCGATCACGCGGCCACCAAGCAGGGAGCACTCCGCTGTTTTTGCGGTCGGTAATCTGCCTCCTGAGCACGGCCACAGTAACAATCAGGTGTTGCCAAATTATTTAACACGCGATCGTTCATGTCGGTTCATTTCCTTTGATGTTTTCTGTCTTTTATTTGTGCCTGATGCGTTTTGCTGTGGAGCGGGGCGCATCAACTTGTCATCCGGTGACGCATGCACCGATCACTGATGCGGCCGGCAAGCAGGGAGCACTCCGCTGATTTTGCGGTCGGTAGATCTTTTAGAACTGCAGTTCAAAGGTAACTCATAAGGTGAATATATATGAACCCAGGTAGCAGTTTCTCTTTAGGATTGAGAGGAGATGCAGGAAGATAATAAACAGACAGGACAGAAAAATAGTCAAATAAAAACAAGTTAGTTTTTGTACCTGGTGGTTGCAACAAACAGACACCATTGAAGGTAATCAGAAGTGAGGAACAGAAAATGAAATAATTATTTTAATGTTTAGAGCAGCAGGAACTCTTGAGAGGCTGCAGGCACATCAGTGAGTTTGCGGTCGCTGCGCAGGGGGAGGGGGGAGAGGGCTGAAGCAGAAACTACCGTTGTTAAAAGAAATGTGTTTAACTTTGAAAATGTGGGCTCAATTTTAATTGTCAAAAACTCCAGCGAACCATTAGTTCATTTTGCTCAAATAGAAATAGAGGCCTACCTCTAATACTGGCCCTCCTTCCAATAAAGGCCTGGAGCTTGATGAGCTTTAGTCAAATACAGGCCCGGGCCTGTATTAGAGGATTTACGGTATATTGTATATTATTACCTTAATAGTATTACAATTAGTATATTATTAATTTACATTAAACTGAAGCCCTAATTGCCCCAAATCAAAAAATGCAAAAGTGAAACGTTTTTATTTGTTTTTTCTTGGTGAGGAAGGTTCATGTTGAAGAAATCAGTCAGACATTGTTTGAGCTTTGCCATGGTACATCATCCTGCTAGACGTAGCCATTAGAAAATGGGTCATGATGGGATGGACATGGTCAGCAACGATACTCAGGTAGGCTGTGGTGTTTACATCAGGCTCAGGTGGTACTAAGGGGTCTAAAGTCGGACAAGAACATCTCCTGTTCACCATTACACCAGCAGCAGTCTGAAGGCAAGAGGGATTCTGGCTTTCATGTTGGTGATGGAAATGGCAGAGGTGTTAGGTGCCTGCCCTGTAGCTGGACGTGTTGCAGGTTCATGCCCCTCCGTTTCTTGCAGTCGTTGTGTCCTTGGGCAAGACACTTCACCCTCCTTGCCTGCTGGTGGTGGTCAGCGGGACTGACGGTGCCTGTGTACGGCAGCGGTGGCTACAGTGTAGCATCACCTGTAGCCTGTGAATGTGTGCATGCATGAGTGAAGGCCTGATGGGCTGTAAAGTGCTTTGGGGGGTTGTAGAACTCTAATGGGGTCTTCATCATTTGTAGTTTTTGCAGTTTCTTTTTAACCGATTACTTTTATTACGAAATGCATCAAACTTTGCAACAGATATTTGGTTCAATTATTTATCCCAGACTGCATATGCAGTAATAAATAATTATCCATTATTCTCTTGTTTTTACTCACATGGGATTAATACGTTTTAGGGATTCATCTGAAATGCGGCGCTATTTTCAACCACTTTATTGAATGAACAGCAAGTAAACAGAAGACGTCAACACTTGTACAGTCAGGGCTGTTTATATAAAAACATGAACAAACACACACGAAAGCTGTTCTGTTGGTGGAGTCTGAGACAGATTTTATTGCTTAGCTGGTTAACCAAAACGGTACACAATGTAGTTTGTCCTAGTGGTGTTGCCATAGTCTGTAGGCACCAGGCCTTGAGCAGATCTAGATCATCTGAATATTGCTGCTCAAATCAAGAATCGTCAGATAGAAATTAATTATTTGGTTCTTTTTAACACAGAAAAAAGTAGTTTTACTTTATTATTATTATTATTATTATTATTATTATTATTATTATTTGCTTGATTAGAAGCCAACTGGATATTACGGTGAAATGTACATCGTGGTGTTGTACTTCCTTTATTGAGTCGTTCAGATGTAAAACAGCAAGCTAACAGGACGGCAAACACTTCCTGTAATGCTGGAGTAACATTACTGTAATGTAGGTAGGTGCTCCCTACTGTAAAAACCCGAGTGCCAACACCAGATATAACAATGTATTTATCTACTTATCAACTTGCGTATGACTCGTCTCTGTCATCTAGAATCTTTTGATGCTGATCCGTAATGGACAACAACCATTAACCCTCCCACTGTCTTTATGGGTGACCCTACTGGATTTACATACAAAGCAATAAGTCTAAATCAAGACCAAACATTTGCATTGTCTGTTCACCAAGCCAAAAAGTGAAGAGAATTTATAAACCTTTATTCTTATATTTGACAATTTTTTTTTTCTCCAGAATTTTGGTGTTTGAGGATAAAGCCAACAGCACCCCCTTCAAGCCAGACGGACCCCCTCCAAAGCGGGACATCACCAGCCTGCCTTAATGCTGGCCTCCAGGCCGCGTGGCGCCGTGCTCGTGTGGAATAACGTGGAGTGTTGTATTAATGTTGGACCGGTGATCCGGGATGTGAATATATGACATGTTTGAGGTTTGTCTCATTTGGAAGACCGAGCCCTAAACTCACTAAATGATTTTTGACTGTGAATACTATTCATATGTATATTTTTCCCTTTAGATCAAATGTAGCAGTGACATGTAATCAATCAAAGTTGCATTTTAAGTGTTTAATGGTTTTATTTTTAAGGGAATTCTCAAACTCCACACAAGCTGCTTTTCCATCCTTCCTGTTCATTTTTAGCAGATAGCAGCGTGAGTATAGGACACTTGGGAGAATCCGGGTTTTTTTACCGTCATCAGTAGCCTTGCTAGCCCTTTCCACTCTGGGAAACAAATTTAGCTCCATTTAGAATATTTTCTCACATTCACTAAGCGAGAAGAGTTTCATAGCAAGGCCTAAAGGTGAGCCCATCTGATCCAGTTCTGAAAGTTTAGGTCTCAGCTTTTTGTAGAAGGAGTTTGATTTACAGGCAGTACAAATGTACGTAGCATGCTACAGAAAGTACAATCATGTTCTTTCCAAGTGCCTCGACTTGCAGATGCTGTGGATCTTCAACAGATTAAGAAAGACGAAAGAGCACACTAGCATTAGTTGTTTTAAAACCTACAATCCTTTAAGATTGTGTTGATGTGTGTTGAATTGTGTTTTTAATATTTGTTTCCATTATTTGATTGAATGAAATTGACAAGTGGTGGGGTTTATGTTTTACGTTATTTTGTGGGGGGTTTCCCCTTTTATTCCATCTTGTTTTATACGTCACTGCAGGTGTTTTTCTGGGAGTTTTTCTTGTTTTGTTTTCCCTCCTGTTGGATTAGTCATCCATGTTTGTTTATCTGCTTCCTGTTTTCCTTTTTTATCAGAAGAGTTCTGTAATCTGTGCCTCTGTATTGATGTGGCAGACTGATAACTAATATGAGATTTTTACACATAGCTTGGTTTTACATCAGTTTTGTCTGTAGTCTTGTAGGAACATTACATTTTAGGGTTAGGGTAAGATGTAAAATGTTTGCAGACACCAAAGGGATTAAACTTCGTACACTGGCCTGTTGACTTTTTTGCTCATTGCAGTAATAAAACCGTATTTTATGTGTAAAAATTGGCAGTTTTCATTTTGATTGAAGCACTAATTTGATTTGAGTTGTTGAATAGAGCTCATGTTTTAATTTGAATTTCCATTCAAGGTGAAGTTTACAATTTGTCGCGACTCGTTTGGGGAATTTTGGTGCCAACTCATGTTTGTCTGTTCAGATGCCGTCATGTCAAGCTGCTCATTGTTTTCCAGAACTACGATGGTATGAGTTTTTGGAGGTCTGCCACTAATCTTAAGTTATTATAATGTGATATTTTCATTATTTTTTCCCCTGTGATAATTTTTATTTTATTTTTTTCCCGTGTCTGCGCTTGTCTGCACTTGAGCAATAAATGTGTCCATGTGACATTCGTAACTATGACTGTAGTTCTTCCTAAATGGGTTTCTGCCATCTTGTGTTCTGGGCAGTCGATGTGAAAGCTGTATCGCTTCTCATTTGGGGAAACAGTTGCTGTGGTGTGGAGGATAAGACTTAACAAGCACGCTAGCAGACACGCTGGTAGGATTATAATAAGCACCTCAGTAATTAAAGAGATAACCACTGTGGCGTGGAAAAAAACTGAGGATCTTGGAGCCACCGGAGACGGAAGGAAAATGTGATAAAATCTTGGAATAAAAGCAGTCCTGCTACTCTATAGACATATTAATTCTGGACGCACGACCACCCATTTCTATAAATGAAGACAAATCTGAGCAGTTCACATCACTGCCTTTTTATCTGTGTCATGTCTCGTCACTCCCAGAGAAACTAAAAATGGGAAAAGAGGTGGAGCTGAGGGTGGAGGCTAATGAACCAATGTGGCTACTAGCTAACTGAGCTAACCCCCAAAGCTACGATGAAGCTAGGAACTAATATTGACTGTTCAGCCATCTCTCATTTCTGTGTGTGTTTGTTTAAAGCCTATGTTATGTTTTGTAGTAGGTATAAAAGCAGAGGCGCAGTTTATGCACCAGAACTTTAGTACTCGAGAGGACCGGTATCAGAGGCAGTAGGGTCAGGGGCACCCCTAGAAAACTTTGATAAGGATGGTCAGACAGGACCAAAGGATTTCTGAATATTAGAATATTTTAGAATGCTATCGGTCTCAGAATTATCTTACTGGTCACAAAGTTGGCGGAAACAACTGCAAATTATATCTATTATTAAAAGTATTCTTACTTTTATCATAATTATGGAGATTATATAAAAAATGTATATAGTTTACCTAAAAATATTCAAAAAAATGTTTTACTTGTTCTTGTTGTATGATCAAATATGGCAGCTTTGATTTCCATGATATGATTTCTTCAACGTCATTACGTTTTTATTTACAACACGTGTATCTTTATTTAGCACAACTAGTAAACTATGTCATGTGAGAGTTTCATAAACCTAGCATCATTAGTTTTAGAGATCTGGCTGTAAACACAGAGATTTAGCAGTTTTCCGGTTTTGAAGACATTCTAATGTTTGGCGCCTCACAGACGCACACTGATTGATCAGACGACGCCATGGCTCAAACTGTGGCTAGCTAGATCTTTGATTGGTTGGGTGAAACCTTGTAATAGGGCTTGGGATCACACGTGATTACGCATAGCATTCTGGGATGTGCACAGATACGTTGATGACCTAATGAGTGTAAACAAACTGAAAAAAAAACTCTTGCGGAGAAGAAGCAGATTTGGGTAAAAGGAAGTGTTGAACAACATGTTCAAGGCCCAAAAAGGATGCGGAATACACAGAGGTACATTCAATAAAGATGTCAATGTTATAGTTTGGATCCATGTGAGACCCAAGAGTGGAACACCGATGATAACTTGTTGCTGCCGCAGTTCTGCACAACGGTCGATTTCGGCCATCTTGTTTGTGAGTGGATGTTAACGTCTGTGAGAGGTATGCGTTTCATTTGCTGGCTTCTCTAGCAAAACGGTCAAAACTGTCGTCCCACAGAAGAATTGTAGCAGGAGGAGTTGTCTTGTGTGTCAGCGCCCCTGTATTAGCCCACCGGTATGTGTGTGTAGTCTATGTGTGTGTTGTGTGTGCATGTCACGGTTGAAGGAAATAAACGATGTATAAAACAAACGTACGCCATATGTAACTCACCAGAATGAAAATACTCTGGAAGGTGATGTTTGGTTACCTTACAACTGTGATCCAAGCGAGCCGACGAGACCTTGTTATGTTAGATACCTGGTCTCCGTGGTTACGCCTCTTAGCAGGAAAAAGGTGAAGTTAGCCCGTGTTCCCTGGCGATCACGTGTTGCACCCCTCAACACCCTGGCGATCACATGTTGCATTCCACAACACCGCAACGATTTACCGTGGTTGCATAATATAACCAATCAGATTAAATTAAGCTGCAAGAATGAGACGGAGCATGCTGTTGTCAATAGCAACAAGCAAAGATTCGTAGGCCGCCAACATGGCGGCCGCGTCGGTGACGACACCATAACTAGCCCTATTCTAAGAGTTTGTGAAAAGGCATACCGACATCATTTATCATGTGAGTGGAAGTTTCCAAATATAGACAATTGCTTTATAAAGGCTTAAACCGGTAAATCATTAACCCTAAACCAACATGTTTGTTTCCATCAATCCCTGGAGTTCCTCTTTTCTCTTCTACATCTCTCAGTTGTCATACCTCCGCATAAAAACAGCATCTTTCAACATGTTTGTTCTCCGCAGCTTGCTTTTCTTGGTGCCCCTTGGGGCTTTTCATCATCTGGATCAAACGGCTTCAGCCCCTGGTGGAAACAGGAAGTAACTGAGCAGCAGCAAGGGTCCTCGTCGCTGCTGCGGCCCGCTGACCGACAACCAATCAGAACACATCAGTGTGAACCCTCATCTGTGGTATCAGCCTGAGGTTAATGCTGCACATGAGGTCATTTCTTGTACAGGTTTTCTGATTCTTTGTCATTAGAAGGTAAACTGACACACATTGTGGAGCCAAATAAAGTCATCTTTAAATCTGATATCATCCACGCCATGTTGGCATTCACCTGATGGTCCAGAGTGGCTCTGAAGACCCAACATTTAGAACATGACGTTTTTATTTGTTGCTGTTTGACCCCATCTACTGATGAACCTGTTGAACTGCAGTGTTCCTGGATCAATTATTTATCATGAGAAAGTGTTATTATAGAGGCTAACTAACATAAAATGCATCGAATCCTGGAGCTGGTTTGAATCATTCATCTGTGTTTCTGTTGGTGAACACGTCTCGCTCGCCTTCTGTCCAACTAAAAGCTAAACTAGATTATTCATTAATATTTAAGAAGGCTGACAGCTATGCTGTTTATAATTAATTCACTTAAATTGTTAAGTCAATGGTGTCTTCTGAATGACTGCAATTTATCCTCCTGTCATAAAATATTAGATGAGGTTTATTTAGATTTATGAAAAAAATCAATGAGCAGCAACAAAAAATAATTTAAGTTTGTCAAAAAGGCTGAAAAATCAACAGATCCTGACATGTAAATAATGTAGATTGATGCATTTATTGAGCATGAATGACTAAAAGTCACATGTTTGCATTCTAATTACCACCAAATGACTTACAGGAACCGGTCATGCTGAATGGACCATGCCTGACGAGTCTTTGTCTAAATCAGTGCTTCCCAACTGGGGTCCGTGACCCCCGAAGGAGGCCCTCGCAAGATTCCAGTGTTTCCCTGTGAGGTTACCTAGAAATACATTTATAAAATATCAGTAACACATCCAATATCCAGTCACAATTCTGTGTAAGAGTTGCAACTATCATCTATCTATCTATCTATCTATCTATCTATCTATCTATCTATCTATCTATCTATCTATCTATCTATCTATTATCTATCTATCTGTCTGTCTATCTATCTATCTATCTATCTATCTATCTATCTATCTATCTATCTATCATCTATCTATCTATCTATCTATCTATCATCTATCTATCTATCTATCTATCTATCTGTCTGTCTGTCTGTCTGTCTGTCATCTGTCTGTCTGTCTGTCTGTCATCTGTCGGTCTGTCTGTCATATTACTGTATGATTGTACAATCGATGTTCACTATTTTATACATACAGACGTATGTCACGTTTGTTTTTTGAAACAGGTCGTCTGAACGTTGAATGTTTCCTGCAGAGCTACAGCTACACTCCTGCACAGACACATGTAGACGATGCGTGGACTGGCTCTGCCTCTGCCTTCCAAGGCCGTAGAGGCCGGTCGCCATCTTAGATGGGTCTCCATTCGCCCACATTACATTAATTTCTCCTGAGGAAGGTGTTTACCCAACTAAAAAGCACACTTTATCAAGCTTGTTCACAAAATCAGACACACAGTTTGGCATGACAATTAAAATGTAATTAAACAAAATAAAACAAATTAAAGAAACACAAAAATCCCATCAAGTCGGCCAGAAAAGTCGCTAGTAATCCCACGTGACCTTTTTTCAACAGTTGTTGCAATCGTGGAGCTGCAATGGCTGCACATAATCAGACCAAATCTCGTAATGGCATTGTTATTATTTAAGGTGGAGATTGTTTTCAAATAAAGCTCAATTTATGTTTTTGGTGTGTTTGTTTGTACTCCAAATTTGACATTTGGTCATTTATGTATCCTTCTTTCCTTTTTCCATATACAATTAATGACCTAATGCTCAATTTAAAAAATAATAATAAACAGCTGCACACAATCAGGTACGGTCTCCTCTGTCCAGTGTGGCGTCTAGGTATTCATCTCTACGCACAGCTGCGTCGACGTAAGTGTATTCATGCGCAGTAGAGATCAAAGGTGCTATGACGTAGCATGATTACATCACTCCGTATAACAGTCAGTTGCCACTAGTCTGTCGACTATACAAGTCAGTAAGTCTCTTTCTGAAAACGTGTTTTCTTTTTAAGAAGATCTTCAAGAAATTCAGCAATGTCGTCTTTTAAAATGGAGGAAGGAGAGTAAGTCTTTGGTTGTATGTGCATGTGTGAGCATGAGGGAGGGAGTGTGTGACTGTGTTTGTGTGTGACTGTATATGTCAGGTGGGGCCTTTGACTCCTCCCTTCTCCTGGGACTTCTTTTGATGATATACATCTTCGTCTCCCCTCTCCCTGCCACACCTGGTGTGGAGTGTGGTGCCTTGGTCTGCCTGGGTCGTGGCTTCCGGGTCAGGGGGGTTAAAATTTTTGGCGTCTGCCTGACCAATCCCTGTAGCTGCCTGGTGGGGTCTGGGTCCCTGGGCTCTGATGGGTCCCCGGCGGGGGTGGTCGCCCCTGGGTCCCGGGCTTGGCCGGCTAGGGGGTGGGAGGCTGCAGGCGGGCCTGTGGGCTCGCCGCCGATATCTCCCAGGACTCTGCCGGCTGCTGGTTGTGGTCCCCCCGGGGCGATCCTCTGTGCCTCT